GCAAAGATGGGTAGTGGCTCACAATTTTTTGCCAAACTTTTTGAGAGAATGGTCAAGCATAACATTTTTCAATGCAAGATTGCAAAGAATTTCTATCTTTCACCTTCTACCATACATAGTATGGTGAAAAGATTCAGGGAATCCAGGGAAATCTCAGTCTGTGTAGGGCAAGGCTGGAAACCACTACTGAGTGTGTATGACCTACGAGCTCCAGACAGCATTGCATGAGAAACTGTCATGCTGCTGTGGTAATATAGCCTCATGGCCTCGGGAGTACTTTGGAAAACCGTTGTCATTTAACACAGCCTGCTGCTGCATCAAGAAATTGAAACTCTATTACGCAAGGAGAAGGGCACCAATGCCGAAACGCCGCTGAGTTTTCTGGGCCTGAGCTCATCTCAGATGGTCCAAAAGACAAAGGAAATGTGTGCTGTGGTAAGATGAGTCCACATTTCAACTTGTTTTTGGGAAAACGAACATTGAGTTCTCCATGCCAAGGGAACATCTAGACTTTTAAAGTGAAAGCCAATATCTGTTATGGTATAGGATTAGGATGGATGGATGGATATCATTGCCCACGGCATGGGTGACTTGCATATGTGTGAAGGTACCATTGACGTGGAGGCATGACATCTTTTCCCGGGAAACACAGTGGTAAACATGCTTCTGTCCCAACATTTTTTTGAGTGTGTTGCAGCCATCAAATTCTAAATTGTTTATATTTACAAAATACAATGAATTTGGTCAGTGAAAACATTATAAGTCTTTTATTTGTGCTTTTGCCAGATAAATAAAGGTTCAAGAGGATTAACAAATCACAACAAAACAACAAAACAATTCTTGTTTTCACTGCATTTTACAAAATGTCCCAACTTTGGAGGACACAGCATGTTTGTGAAATGGGTTTTGTACGTCATTTGAAAATGTCAGCTGCCCTTTGCATTGTGTAAACATTTCTTGAAATATGATCTTGGATTGCAAGAACTTTTAACAGAAACAGAAGGTAGAGATGGTTAAAACATTCTTCCCACTATAATGTTACCTTTTTGAAGATACAATGTTTTGTTACTATAGTGACTTGTTTACTGTACAACAATACAACTAAAAGCTATATCGCTCCCAAGACTTCCTGTAATATATTGCAGCACATTAGAATAACCACGGAAAATGCGAAAGTAATCAGTGTTTCCATCAACTATCCTTGTATGCAAATTCCCAAAGATAATGGCACACGCTAGAGTCTAGACACACATGAGTCTCGCACTCGTGTGGAGTGATTTGAACCTTTAGAAACTCTCAGTAGAGTAGTTTTGACAGCCCTCTGTCAACTGTACATGGCTGTAGCATTAACAGTTTAGAGACTCTGGGCAGAGCAGGTAGTGGCCCTTTTAACAAGGTCTGAAGTCTCTCCTACTTCACTGTTGCCCACCGAACCCTTGGGCACGTCAGTCCAGAAGTAGTGTTGATAATTTTCAGATGGAGCAGAAACGCATGATTTTCGTTCCCACATCGTCATCAGGTATTCAAATATATTTGTTTCTTTACTCTTACCAACTTTTCCACCTCATCCGAGCATAAAAGGGTCAAAATTCAGTCAGAAGGCTTCAGGGCTACAAGAGTAAACTGTTGACTGAATGCCAACATGCTCAGTTTATGCATATCAATATTTCTGGCATACAAGAAAAAAACTGAATGTCAGAATTGCTAGCATCAATTGTGGCATTTCCCAGATTTGTTTAGCATAAACAAATTAAAGATGGCATCACTTCCAGTCTGCTGTGAGGAACATTAACCTGTCATGACTGTCCAGCAACCCTGTCAACCCAAAGGAGAATTGATTGCTGTAATATCCTGGTCTGGATTAGATTTATATGCTTCAAATTGGGACCAAAATAGCACCAGTGCAGCCTGACGTCTACACTGGATTAGACCAGTTTACTAATGGAGAACATGATAACAGTACACACAGCAATTATAAAATATAATAAAATGACTGTAAGCAAAAAATGTTCTGAGTCTCCTAAAAGCATACACTGAAGTAGGCTGGGGCTTGTTCTGTGGCTGTGTAAAATCCTTGCTGCGATTCCTTATTGTGGTTTAAAAGACCTGTCAGTCTGTGATTCTGTAGAATAGACTCTAAACAGACTGAATGCAGAGCTTTGTGCTAGCTGAAAAAAGAACTTGCTTTTGAACACACAGATAAAGGTTTCTCTTTTTCCCCGTTATGCAGTCTTCATATAGAAGATGAAGCATGAGTAGGCTTTGGAGCTCCTCCCCTTAGCATTTAGGAATTTGACAAAAGAGAACGTTTGCTGTCAGTGCTCTGAAAGGGGTGTTTGTGTGTCTATTTGAAACGTCTCGATCAATCAAAACCCTTCCCATCATCAGTTAGTCATCTCCCCTCCCTTCTGCTTTTTTCTGCATTTGTCTTCGGTCCTGTCTTTTTGCTCTTTCTTCACTCCTCTGTCGCCTTGGCCCGTCATGGACTGGAGGAGGCAGCGTTCCCTCACTGTCAGAGATATACGCTCATAATCATAGAGGAATTAAAAGAATAGTTCAGTAAAACATTTGATTGTAGATGTAGCCTACAGATGTAGGCAGCCTCTTTCTGCAGGCCCTCTAGTGGCCATTCAATCAGTTAATTAAATCTGTAATTAATATTCTAAAATCAAAATATGAAAATATTTTACCCCATGACTTGGTTATCAGATTAATTAGGACACTGATGGTTCTCTGTGTGTGAAATAATGTTGTGCTGATAGTGAGCAATGAGGGTGAAGGGAGAGGGGTCACTTATGAACACCAGGATGTTTCTGGTTTTGTAAATTGTACACATTTCCATCAAAATATATTCTAACAAAAGAATGTATAGTTAAACTGACTGACTCCCAAAACAGGCAGAAAATTGCATTTTATAGCTACTGTGAAAAGGAATCAATCACCGCAGACGAGTTTTCGTCTTTAGTTTTACACTGGAGCTGCAAGGCTAATATAGGTAAGAAGTAGCAGAAGACATTGTCATCTTATGTTGTGATTGGCCTATGTCTTTATATACAACAAACTACTAGATGCTTATAAGATTGTATGTAAATATTAACACCATTTATTAATTTTATTACAATTGTCTTTGGTGTATTTGAAGATACGTGCAAAATGTTTCAACCTCAGATTTCTAATCCAGCTACTTTTGTTAGCTCTGCTGCTGTTAGTTAGAATCGGGGCCAGTCGCATCCCCTTTTAAACTATTTTGTGGTTCTTGCCAAAATGCTCAGCTCTTTAATGTAGCGATCTCAAGAATACTAAGACATGTCCTACAACAACATTTAGAATGTTATAAGCTCTAATTTTTAATTTTCCACAAATTGAATAATAATAATATCTTTGTTTAAAGAGCACTTTTCATACCAGTGGAAGCTCAAAGTGCTTTACAGTCAGGTGATAATGTTTTGCAGTATTAGACAAACCTATGACAGATCAAGTTGAAAAGAAAAACCAAAGGGACGTAGCATTTTAATTGAAAGCTAAGTTAAAGAGATGTTTTTAAATGTTTCTTAAACGTGTGAACTGAGCTTTACTGTCTAATAGGCGGTGGAATTGAGTTCCACAGTTTAGAAGCATAATAACTAAATATGCCTCTCTACATTTTCTGTATTTTAGGAAAGGTTTGAACGTGTTGGAACATAAACAGACAGACATTCTTTGAGGTGATAAGAAGCAGAATTTTAAAATCTATCCTAAAAGATACAGGTAGCCGGAGCAGTTCTTTCAAAATGGGCCTGAAGTGATCTCTCTTTTTTGTTTTGGTTAGGTTCCATGCCGCTACATTTTGTATGAGTTTTTTATTGTTATGTATTGTTTTCTTAGGAAACCCAGTGAGAAAAGCATTACAGTAATCAATTCTGCTTGTAATAAACGCATTACCAATTTTCTCTTGAGAGTCTTGATCATCAGAAGGAATCAAATGTATAATTGCGTGTCATGAGCATAGCTATGAAAATGTGTATTATGTTTCCTAATATCACCTAGAAGTAACATTTACAAAAAGAAGAGCAAGGGGCCTATAACCGAACACTGTGGGACTTCACAAAAAGGTTTGCTGTTTATTTAGCAAACATTTTAAGCCCAAAGTTTGCTTAAAAGCTGTCCACCAGAATCTTAAACTGCATTTTCAAAGTACTCCAATTTTGTGGGAAAACCATAAACCTGGACATTTTAAAGGGGAGATGATTTTTGTAATTATATTTTGACTGAGGAGATGGCCACCCCCTGCATCCCCCCTCAAATCAAACCCTGGTTGTCAGATATTACTGTTCAGATTACTTAGTAACTTGAAACCAAGTCTGGCACATCAGGGATGATTTCATCTTGCATGTTGCACGATACTAATTGGTGGGGGATATAAGCATTAGTCATGTAGCTCCAGTACAAAACCAAAGAAGGAAGTTTCAGACACCAGATGAGTCTTGGATGATCTACATTTGTGATATAAGGAAAAATATGTACCTTAGATTTTTCACTGAACTGTTCCTTGAAAAGAATGTGCTGAAATGATACGCACCCTTCTATTGCTTTGCATTGTGCAATGGTTGCAGAACTCTGCAAGCATCATGAACATTGTGCGTAATTGCTGGCTTTCGATTTCACACCACTGACCACTCACGGCGGCACAGACAAATGTGCCTGGCACACACACGTCAATTAACACCGGACAGGAGCTGTGTGAGCTCAGCGCAGAACACACGCGGAACTGGATTACGGGAGGGAGGCCGTGATTACAGTAATTACTCATTACACTTTCTGTGCACCTGTCCAAAGGTTGGCCAATGAGGTGGACATCAGGTTAATTGTTTTTATTTTCCCTCTGGTTTTGGTTTGGGTGGTGGTGATGGTGGTAGGTGGGGGGGGATTAAATGCATCAGAATGAAAATGTCACGTGCGCTGTCAGCCGACACGTGCGCCACTAATACGGTACCGTCTCTGCTGCAGGTGGTGAATGAGCAATGTCGACGCTGCTGGAACTGAAGAGCAGTGTGCTGAGGCAGGTGCAGAGGAGCCAGTCTCTGAGGAGCAGAAGGGAGCCTCCCCCCACCGCTGCTGCGGGCCCACCAACCCCCACCAGGGTCCCTGACAGGGTCGCCCTAGGGTGAGTCCACACCACACACTGATGGAGATAACCCACATACACTACTGTTCAAACCTTTGGAGTCACTTGTCATATTAATAACTTTAGTTGTTTCATTCAGTAGTGGTTTATACAGTGTGGGCTGACATCAGTTTAACACAACAGTGCTTTTCAAACTGGTTTTCAGGGCCCCCATGTTTTTGCTCCAACCTAACTCATAACGCATAAGGATGGAGCAAAAATATGGACCGTTTGGGGGGTCCTGGGGACTGGTTTTTGAGACTAGTTTGAAATGTCATAAGTATTACATAGACACCAGGAGTTATTTTTAGATGGTTTATTCAGTTTGTTTTACAGCTTTATATGTAATTCTGGAATCATCTCCAGTTCTGTTCATCATTCTGGGCACATCTAAAATTTCTTACAGGTTATTTGAAACCTATGAAGCTATAGTTTATTAGTAAAATATTCAAACTATTTTTTTCTAATTCTAAGGACACTTTGATGAATATGAAGTTGAGTGTTACAAAATACACCAGAAATATTAATAGGTAATATTTTATGGTAACAAAAGCTTGCTGGTATTTTTCATATTTAATTGAAAAGTAAATTTCAATGGAAAAAAAAAGCCAAGACATTCCCAAACTTTTGATGGGCAGGCTACGCGTACACACACTAAGGCCAACGGAGAATCCCCCAGTTCCCCAGAACTGTGTTGTTGCTGGTGGTCATTGTTTGTATTGATGTATTTACTTCCCCCCAAACTATCAAAACAGATGGTAGGATGAGTGTCAGTGATAGGGCTACAGTGAGTCACGGTGCTCGCAGACGCCCACAACGGCTCTACTGTATTCATGCTTTGGAAAGTGACTCAATCTCGACATCTTGCTCTCCCACATTTCAAATTAACTGCCATTTCAAATAGTGCACAGAGACGGGCCTTTGTAAGGATTAAGAGACAATTACCTTTGCAGCTCATTAAGACAGAACTAGGTTGAGAGAGTGAGCAGAATGGGATCTTTTATTTAAGTTCAGTCTTCAGATCATTTATCATTTCAACGTGCAGCAGATGGAAGCAGTGTGGCCTGTGCTGCCTAATAACAGGAACTCAAGCCCTGGCTGATCCGTTGTAAAGAAATGTGTTTTGAGAGGCCCCAGGAGGCTGTGGTAATTTTGGGGTCCATAAATATGGCTGCCAACATGCTCCACAGTGGCTTCGGAGACTGCTGTTGTAGAAATGGGATCAGCTCCGAACAGCGCATCTAATCTAGCTTTTCCCACAAGTGCATTAACCCTGTTATACCTCACATCTCTCAGGCAATACATTTAGAAACATACATGACGATGTCCTCTTTAACCATTTGAGTCCAACACAAAAACACAATTTTTACTGCCATTTAATCTACTTGTTTCTGTTAATAATGTGATTTCTCAAGGCTACTGTGGCATTTATTTCAAATGTAAAGAATGTGACCTAATAAATCTGAAAATTCATAGATTAAAAAAAAAAAACATGAATAGGAATATTAGTCACACGTCAGTCTTGTTTTGTTATTACTCTGATTATTACTATCAAACTGAGTGTCTCAGCGGCAGTCTATTTTGTGAATATGGCGAAGGCCCATATATAGTGGAATTTCAGCCAATTTAATATCTGTATAAATAAATGGTTAAAACACAAACATTCAGAGCATTTTGATGTGAAATGCGCCATTCTAGAGAAACTTACCGAGTCCGAATTATTTACTTAATTTTTTCAGAATTACCGCTCTTTTACCGTCCTCAACATTATATATAAAAGCTTAGAAGATGTGTAGGTTCACTGGTCATTTTGGATAGTAAAATAAAATGGCTTTTTGCGTTGTAGACGTCACAACCCCTGGTTTCTATCACCACCACTGTAAAAAGTTGGCAAGTTTCTCTACAGTGATCCATTTTACACCAAATCACTCTGAATGATTTTGTTTACGTCTCACCCATTGAATTATGTAGAAATTTGGACAAACTGGTGGAATTCCCTTTTAACTTGCTTACATCTGCCACCAGATTAGTTACGGCGCGTGCATGTCCAAGTTGGCCACAGTAAAATGTGTCTGCGTGTAGAATCGGCACTTTCTACAGTGTTTTCTATCACTGTAGAATCCATTAAAATTTCTTCATGGTTGGATGCACTGTAATTTTTTTCAAAATGATCCATAAGAGATAATATAAAGACCTACAATTCAGTGAAACATCATTTTTTTTATTTTAACAGAACAATAACACATGAAAGTTTTACTTGTATTTGCGATTAAGTATATTATGTTATGCTGTGCCGCTCCAAAATGGAAAAGTAGCAATGATGCATCATTAAGGACGTGAAGGGATATAGATTGTATCCGGTAATCAAATTTGTATCCTTTTAATACTGAATATTTTTTCTTAAGAATACATTTCTTACACCTAGAAATATAGTTCTTTGGCCTTTGTGTCTCTGTAAGCTTGTGGTGTATTCCATGAGACACAAGATTAGGACTTATTTATAACCATCTTCAGTCTATCTTACCAGACGTGGTGATGGCCTATGTTACAGCAGTTGAAACTGGGTATTTCCATTATCATAGATTTGGGTGATGTTTGACTATGTGGGAACTGAGAAGGCAGAGCTAGTGCTGCTTTTACTGCTAAATAGTCTAGACTGCTGTTCGGTCCAGAAAGACGTTAAATATGTCTATGACAAACTAACATGTTGACGCATCCACTGAAGAGGAAAAACACCCATAGAAGATGACAAGCCTCCATCAGCATTTAGTGTCGTACCAGTTCGCTGTAATTTAGTAGCCATAGATAGATTGCAGTGTTTCAGTAGCAAGACCTATAATTTCACATAAACTTACATATAATATGCAGAAAATAAAAAATAGAAATAAAAATAGACATAAGTCAAACTACAAGAGAGTAGAAATAAAAGTATATCTATTTGCATATTTACTTAGCATATGAGACAGGTTTGTATTTACATGATAGCAGGCACTGAGTGGTATGAGGTAAACGAAAAGCACAATGAGTATAGACATAACTAGGAGTTGCAGCAATGTTACTCATCCGACAAAGAATCTACCCATTTCCCTCTGCTAGTTTTGAACAATAAAACATGTTTAGAAGTGTATTCCTCTGTGTGTAACACCAGTTCTGTCACCTAAAAAGGTAAGCCACAGCTCTACAGTAATTTCAGCTGAAATCAGTTTTCTTTCTTATGGCGTTGTCTGTGTCCTCCACGGTTAATCTGTTTGTGACCTCTTACGGATACTTGAATATCAAAATCAGTTGAAAAATTTATTTTGTGACACAAACTAAACAAAAATCTGTGAACTTGCAGTTTTGTTAGATCATATTCTTTACATGTCATATAAATGCAGCAGCAGCTTAAGAGTAGATTAAACTGCAGAAACTATTGCATTGCATCCAGCATCCAACACTAAAGGCAGCCTCATTCATCTTAGCACACATTTGTGTAGCACACAGAAATGCCTGATTTAAAGGAGTTAAAAAGTACAAAGCCAGAGTTTCTGATTGTATCACTGAATTTTTGTTGCAATAGGGTGCAAACTTATTAAGAGCTGTGCATTAAATGTTCTTGTGTGCCACTTTTCTATCACTATATGAAGTAAGCACAATGTTGCCTTTATTGTTGGATGTCCTGTGATGGTTCTGAGTGTGCGTGTGCACACATTCAGAACAGAATTCAGATCTCTAAGGGCTTTGCATTGATTTGTTTCATTAGAGTAGCAATAAAAGGCAACTGAACTGTGAAGTATATTCCTTTTCATAGGTTTGCTTGTTTAAAATTTGACAATAAAAATCTCCAGATTTTCCATTTTAATAGATTATGTTCTTACATGGTCCAAATAAATGCAACAACAAGGGTGAAGAGTAGATTAAAAGGCAGAAATGGCTATTTTTTTCACCTTTATTATTTTAAACCATTCAAAACACGATACACCACAATCGCTCTCCAAGCAGCTGCTTGAAAGCCCAGAGTGAAGATATTACAGACATGGCATGTCCATCACTTTGGGCTTATAAGACCATTTTTCTTCATGAAAAACGTGGTAGAAATGTGCACAAAGTGGCATTTCCTAACCAGCATAAATCATAATCTGGGTGCATGGGCAGGAACCGGTTTTGTTTGTCCAAGAACGATTCCATCAAATTGGCACAGTTGGCTGGGTGAACGCAGGTGTAGTTAAGTAAATCAGTCACTGTGTTTTTTTTTTCTCAGCTACCATCTCGGTCTCCCTTGTTTTGATTCCTTTTCAAACACGCCTGATGTCAGTGCCAAAAGTAAAGGGAACATAAACCTTGAGGTTTCTATAGCAACCAAAACATGTCTGTTTTTCCCAGCTGCTCCTAAAATATGAACGTTTTTTTTGTTTTTGATGAGCGCGTGTCATCTGTCTACCAGGGAAAATAAACATGCAGTGCTGAGGAAAAAAATAATTGTTTTGGGCTTGATTTGATATACTTTCATTCAGTCTGGCTCAGTGCTCTAAATACATGGCAGATACCTGCCGTAGATGTCTGTTCCTGTCTGTGAGTTTGTTGTCACTGCTTCTTTCTTCTGGTGCAGCACCCCCCACCCTTCCAACCCTTCCTTTTCTTTTCTGGCACACACAGTCATGTTTTTGATGCTGTTCTCCTTGAGAATTAATTTAGCTCTTTTAGTGACAGTTTTTCTGTAATATCTGACTTCTTTTAAAGTCTGCATTGAAGTCACCATTATTATCATTAATACTTAGTATTACTTAGATTAGTATTTATATTAACCCCTTAAATTATGAAGGTCTGTATGTAGGCCCATAATTTAATTCCTCACTGTGACAAGCACATAACTGACATATTAGTTTTATAGTAATTACTGAATACTTTTTAGTGGTTAATCTGCTCCATCTGTAGCATATAGTCACTTACCATTGGCAGTCATTTTGGTTTGTGCTTGTTCTTAGTAAAAGAACAAAGCACCTGTTGGCTCAATGCACAGT